GAAGGGCGTAACGAAAAAAATTTTTTCCCTCGATTTGTTTTTCGTGCTGAGCACCAATCATGAACCGGGAACCAACGGTTTTACTTCTCTTCCGAAGGAAGGCGTGATCAGAGATGTTATGCCTCAGAACATCCCGGTGGCGCCGACTGGGATTGAACCCAGGCCTGCTGGGGTGAGAGGTAATCACGCTTACCACTACACCACCGGCGCCACTTTAACGAATTTCTTTTGAACAAGTTAAATCCTCGTTATCCAACTGCTTGATACGGGCACTGCGCCAAATTCCAGTATAGATCGCAAAAGAGAGCAGTACAGAGCTTTTGACAGGCAGGATCACGAAGCTCATCAGAGATCTTAAAGATGAACCGGAGCTGTCTGTTAGCTTTGGCAATTATGTCCGAGTGATGTTGTTTAATTGTTAAAGCCGTGTCAGGGGTAATTACAAGGTCACAAATTGTGTCCACGTTTTGCAGAGGTTGGTTATCGATCGTATATGCAATTGGTGTCGACTTGCGATGTAATTTAATAATATAGCATTTGTGATCACACAAGGTAAGAAAATTCCCAGTGTTCCACTCTTCAAAGCTATCGATCAGGTGTTGCAGTCGCAAGCAGTCAGCGAAGCTTCGACTGGGTTGCTACTTTGAGGAACGCTCAAAATGCTTGGTACACAAAAATTTATATTGGTAAGGTAAGATGTAAACCAACGAATGAAACCATCCAACACGTCAAGCTTATCCAAGCTTTGCCAAAAGTATGGCGTGGTCAACCCGGTCAAAAGCAGCTTTTAGAGCGTCTTCCGTAATCACGAGGCAATGAAAGGAGCATGGTTTGTTGAGACCGATCTTTAGGGGTGAAAAGCATGACGGTCCGGAGAAATGTAATTTCTGCTGCTATAGCATAAGGCGTCGTTAACGCTGATTTCGAAGACTTAAGAGCAGACACAAAGTGATGTGATCCTTCGGTAATTTTTAGTTTGTCTCTTTTCTTGAAAATCAGGAACATGGACGAAGATTTCCAGTCGTTTGCTTTTCCTCAAAAACCTCCGCATACAAATTTTCATGCCGATCGGTTCAGACAGGCTAACAGACAGACAGATAGATGGATAGAAATTCATTATAATGTATATAGATAGATTTCTTGATTTTCTACGATGTCCCTGAACATGTACAAAGTCGCTGAAGTTTAAAAATAGAATGAAATTGATGAAAATCCATGATCTTCAACGAAATTTTACAAAATTTGCTAAATTTCTCTAAAGTTCACTGATTTTCCTAAATGTGTGATGAAGTTCTATAAACTTCTCTCAATTTACAAAACTTACTGAAATTCTTCGAAGTTCTCTGAAGTTCTATGAAGATAGCTGAACTACTATAAAATTGGCTGCATTTCTAGCAAGGTTCTAGAACTTCAGCACAGCTCAATGACGACGTGTGAAAAAATCTCGTCGATCTCTTTGAAGACTTGTTTTAAGGGCACCTGGCTTCCCTGGGCTAAAAACTCCCACTTCATGTCAGAGAAAAAAGTTATTATAGTGAGAGTTTGTTGCAATATCCACCCTTAGAAGATGTGATCAAAGAGCCAGGGAGAGGGGTGCAAAATTCAGAGTTCACCACCTAAACAAAAATCCTTAAATCGGATCTGGTCGTCGCTTAATTCTATTGAGTTCCTATTGAGAGTTATAAAATGTTCAAGGCTATATTAATAAATAATTTTTGGTAGATAATTATTAGATTAAATATAATTCAACAATGGCGAACAAGACATCAAATATCCCGAAACGGTTCTCGAAATCCAATTTATTCAATTTAAAAAAATCCATGTTCCAGATTTGATCCAAAGTTCAGTGAATACGATATGTACGGATGAAATGCACTTCACCTGGGTCATTTTCATTTGCAAACTTGTTTTGGTAAGCTGAAATAGTTTTTTCTACACAGCTAAAAAAAAAAGTAGTGTAAATTTCCGTTACTATGATGCACAGAAATGGAGCGTCTTATATCATACAAGTTTAGATTATAGATCGTGTAAATTTATGAGACATGTCATGCAATATTCCATATATTGTATGCAACTGTCCACTTTTGTTTGCAACATTTCTTGCAAACTGCTAGTTTACGTGAAAAGGAAGTTTACATGTATGAATGCTTGAATGCATGGATGTTTACATCTCCAGTAAAATTCAGAATTTTTTGGTGTGTACATTACGAATGTGTGCGTACGAATCATCCATCATCGTATCCAGTGTTGTCAATTTAATTGAAAAAAAGTGTTTAAAACAATGTTTTTATTGCTTTTGAAGGTGCTTCAACTGTGTTCAATTTAGAAACCATCACTTATAAAAATTAAAAACTTTTCCTTATTTTGTTTTACAGAAAAGAAATGGAACTAAATAAACCTACAAATCTTCTATAGAAAACATATTTGTCATTCTGGTTGCACTGGTAGAAGCCATCAGCTGATATTAAAAAGGGGGGAAAATAATTATGCAAAAACAAACACATACACGATAATAAAAAACGTTGCTAGAGATCAGTTCACTTTTACCTACTTTTGACTTTGAGTATAATCACGATCATATTCACCTACTCTTGGGTATAACTGACTTTCTTTTGGGTAGAAAGCAAATTTTCAATTCCATACGATTTGAACACAAGTAAATGAAAACTACTTTGACTCACTTTACCTACTTTTGGCTTCCTGCAATAAAGTGGCGAGATGTGTGAAAATAACTTACTTTTGGGTACTTTTTTCTTGCCATGTACCTGGAGGTTTGAGTGCTGGAATCATTTTTGGACCGGTCGTGTGTAACCAAAGTGTACAAAGTGTGGCTTTGAATTAATCAACTACTATGATTACTTGAATTGGTTGGCCTTGGTGGCTAGGCGTATGATAATTTTCTGTATAGAAAGGGATGTCCTTGGTAGGTGGTAGATCGTTAATTTTGGCAAATTGAATAGAAATTTAGTAATGGTGTCAATATTGAATGATAAATAGATAATCTTTAAAAGAAGATAAAGGTTGACATTTACAGTAAGATATATATCACCTCTTCTTTAACTTTCTACTTGTTTTATTAACTGTTACACATTCGACCTATTAATATCGAACTCTAGCAGCTATGTTAACGGTAGTTGCGACAGTGCATGATGTACATTCACATTTCTACAGCATCAACGATAATAATTTCACTGACACATAGAAACTAGAGAAAAAAAAAGCCAAAAAGCGGACGTATCATATCACGTTAACGGCAGAATGTAATTTAAAAGTATTTTAAACTCATTTTGACAACCTACACTTTTTCATTTCAAGAAATATGTTCAAAACCATTCAACGTTAAAACCGCAAGAGACGGAGCTTTTAAAACTTCATACTGATCTTTTGACATGTTTTGGAAAACATTATAATTAAAAAAAAAAGACAGCCGAAAATGGGATACGAAAATCGGTTCTTGACGTGGTTGGTTTGTAGCTTTATAACTAAACTATCTCTGATGGAGAACAAATCTTTTCTTAATTACCATGAAATGGCACACACATATTTACTCACCAAAATTAAACCGATTATCAGATTTTCTTGAAATTTTCAGGAAGTGATGAGTTATGATTACCAAAATTTGTCCATCTCGAATGCTCGCACCGTCCATTTTCATTCCACCTATCAAATTATGTGCAATCAATTTTTACAGTGTTTTTGTTGTTTTAACCCAAATTACCTTCAACTCCAGCTCTGTTTTAAAAGTTTTGGGATGTTTGCGAAGTTCCGTCTTCATAATTGCCCAGAATATTTCAATTGGGTGATGTTCCGGTGAATTTGGTGGGTTCATATATTTTGACACAAAATTGACTCCGTTGGCTCAGTATCACTCCAACACGTTTCGAGCGTAGTGGCTAGATCAGACCAAAACAGAGTTGATCCTTTATGCTTCCTTATGAATGGCAAGAAACACTTCTTAAGGCACTCTTTCGTGTAAATCGCACCGTTGATAGTTCCAGGAGCGCTTATTTCACGCGGTTTTCTGCTCAAAAACCGAATGACACCTAGGACTTTTTAGTGAAATCTCGAATTGACATGTTTCGACGGTCCTTTTACGATCACTCCCTTAATTCTTTCGGGCACTCAGACGCTCCTTGAAGGTTTTTATCACACGAGACACAGTTGTATTTGCAATTTCAAGCTTTTTAGCGATCCCCAACGGTAGGACGCATCTGGATTTTGATTGTAACGGGTGTTCAATAAAAAATGAGAATTTTTCCAATCATATAGCTAGTAAAAACTTTTTTTTTCAACGAATTCAATATTTTTTTTTATAAAAAAACATAATGTTTATTCTTCAAAAAAACGTCGAAGAATATTGGAGCAGGGGCCCAGCCGTACGACGCAACTTAGCCGCAGTGCTCTTACAAGAGTGCTGGACGGCACTGAAATCATTCTAATTTTTTATTGAACACCCGTTAAGAGTACAACATTTTTTTCACGGACAGTATCTTATTTTGACGACATGACTGGAACTGCTGTATGAATAACTATGAAACTTGACAGATGTAAACAATACAAATGGATACGATTTACTCAAATTTTCAGGTTTTTTACTCATACGGTTTAAAAGTAACAGATGATTTTCGGTGTGCCATTTTTATCGACTACACCTTTTACTTGAGTATACATTAATGATTTAATTAATTTAAACATTATCCTTCGAAACAACATTCCATATAAAACAATTTGAGTTCACATATCAATGTTCAAGTAAAGTTTCGCCTTTTACTTAAAATTTGAATTTCCTGGCTGTAATGACCTACCAACTTTTCTTATTATTGATTTGTTTCCCGTTGATCTGGTTTTCGTACTGAATACCAATGCTACTGATGTCGGGGAAGCAGCTCCTACTCCTGGACCCTACCTATCACCTCATGGCGGGGACCAACGGCTTTACTTCTCTTCCGAAGAAAGGCGTGATTGTATGCCTCAGAAAATCCCGACGGTGCGTGGCCTACCTACTGCACAAAGTTGAAAATCATCATAAAGAACTGGTACAGCAAACGAAGTATCTACAATTGGGAAACCATTTGTGAGCATCTGACAGGTTATGTTCTTCAGATATGTGAATTCAACCTACCGACATGTATGATTCAAAATTCAATGGTGAGAAACCGTACATGGTAATCATGAAAGATTTCCTCATCCGACACATCACAAAGCAGTATTCCTTTTGTTGAGTAACGGTGAGAAGATCCCATGGGAAATGTGTCAGACATGCGTGGAGTGAATCAACCTACATAAAAATGAAATCTATTTGTAGATTTTTGGTTTGTTAAACATTTAGTAGCGATCAACTTTACTTTCAATTCAAGTGCATTTCCTAAGAGGAAATAAATTGTCAGTTGCACAAAACACACCAAAAGAAATAGATAGGCTGCATACCAGTCAGTCTGAAAGTGTTACACCAGAATGTTATGAAATGAACATATTTTTGGTCATAGAGTTTTAATAACCAGCAGCATAAGAACCATATTGTCACAGATAGCAAAAACTCCCGTGAATATTTGGATCAGGCATATTAGCGCTAACATGTCTTCAATATCTTTAAAGAACCTGCAAATTCTCCCAGCATCTTAAGTTTTTAACATCATTTAAAAAATCCGTTACAATGTTCTTACTTGGTAAAGGAAATATGATCCTTCAGACAATTTTTCCACGATTTTTCAATTTCAGGTTCGTCTTCATTAGATTTGCTCTTCAATTTTGCTGTAAGTTGCTCCATGTGCAGCTCAAAAATATCAATCATCGTCATTCCGTGAAAAACAAGGTACACGAACAAATAATCTGCCAGAATCATTCCACAGAGACCCATCACATAGGTACATACCTGTACTGCAACGGTTATAATATATCCTTGTGTCGTGTGCCAATCTATGCCAGGAACTTCAAACATAAACAAAGGAATTAGCTTAGATTCGGTAATGTAAATGAAAAGTGGATACAGAGCAAACACGAACAGCGTTGAGCAGTACAGGAAAGCCATCACTTTCCAGATGATGCTGAGCCGTTCAGCACATGTCCGAACAAGCTGGTTCTCTGGTTCCTTTTCCGATCCATAGCGGACATATAGATGGGTTTCGGTATGGTCGGACAGCTTCTTCAGACGCTCCTTCAACGAGAGGGCAATGAAAAACTTGATAGTCAGCTGCAATGCAATGCCTGCGCAATTGATGATCTTCATCATTTGTATAATGTCCTGCCGGAACCGGACGGCGGTCCAGATATTACAGCCAAAGTAGATGACTATCTGGATCATGATGGAAAAGGACGCTGGTGTGTACCGCTTGGTGGAGGTCCATATTTCCGCCCCGACGATCTTGGAGGTGATGATCAGTGGCCGAAGGTTGGCGTGATACAGGTCCTGAGTAGTCATTGTTCTCGGTCGAACTGGCGATGAAGCTTGCGTAACAGAGGGTCTAAAGTAAAAATTGCCTACTACTGGGGTGCTGCGATAATGGATTCAATTATCGATAATTATAGTAAAATTTTATTTTAATTGGTTGGAAATGCAGTTATCCTTAGTGGGATGAATAATTAATTTTGTTTTGGTATATTAGAGTGGCGGTGAATGCTACTCCATGAAAATCAAATTAACTGCAAATATGAGGAAAATTGCTGTGGTTTAGTATTCATTAGAATCGAAGTTTACCCGCTACGCAATTCCATCAGATTGCTACCAAAAGTTACCAACTGCATCAGTCAACAAAAAAAATCTGTTGCCAATTTGTCCTAAACCTGGAACTGAAGCTATTTTTCAATCCGTCTATAGTATAGCCAGTTCAGAAACTTTTTAAAATCCTTCAGATTGCGGATTCACATCTCTGGCCGAAGCCAATTCATTCGCTTTTGGCGTTGACGGCGTCACCTATTACTAATTAAATTACGCCCTACCTGAAAACTGTATGCCACTGGGGTGGACGCAAACCAAGCCTAGGGAAAGTTTTCAGTATTGTACACGCAGTGAAGCCGAACAGCGTTAGTGGTTAGGACAAAACATTTGCAGCGAAAAAAATTGCTAAACGATGGATACGGTTATTCCGACCAACGCTGACGGTGAGGATGCTGTTGGAAATGTTAGAATTTCGTGTTCGTCGGATTGCCAGGTGAATTCAAATTCATTTGCTGACAAAACCGTGCCCAAGCGAAGCCGAAAAGTGAAAAATGATGCGTCAAATGCATCGCCACCCTCACCATCACCATTAGGACAAAGTGATACGGAAGCGAGCGATTACGACGAGAATCCCGCTGAGAGTGACACTGAACTCAGTGGATCGGCTCAATACGTCAGGCTGAACGAGGAACAACATGTAGAGGCGGTGGTGATATTGAAGAATAGATTCACAAAGGATGATCTGGGGGGATCGGGTGAGATGGAGGCATTTTTGAAGAGTAACGGGAAGCTGAAATTCAATTTGAAACCGGAAAAGTTGGGGAGTATAACAGGATATAGCGATGCGACGGATGGAAGAGGAATTCCGCGCAAATCTAGCCTACGGAGAAATTCTTTGTTTAGTAATCAATCGGATCTGGAGAAGCAACTGGTTATGGAGAGGCCCAAGCCTGTCCCGGAGCCGGTAGGAATGTACGACGTTCCCAAAAGAATTCTGTTGCCAATGTTCAGTGAGGACCAGGATTTCGTGGATTTGAACAACTTCGGCGACAAAAAAACACCGCTGAAATTCGACGAAATACTGTAGGTGTAATGGCAACTTCCGTAGCTAGCCGTGTGGGCAGTAAAGTATACTTTGTTCTGCCATTTTCCAGTACCATGTACGACCAGTTCCCAACGGACTTTCTTCCCAGTAAGTACAAGTGTGGCATCTGCAAAAAGTTGTGCCACGAGCCACGAGTGCTGGATTGTCTGCACACCTTCTGTAAACGATGTTTGATAGAACTGGAGGCAAACTCGCACAGCGGAAGCAACCTATTCTGGCGGCGGATTAACGAGTGTGCCAACTTTGACTGGGACTGTAAGCCCGAGGGCTGCGAGCTCGGAGGTAAAGGTGATGGTAAGTAATAGAAACGGAAGTTCAGTTTGAGCACATAGTTCGGTTTAGAATTGCACGCTTGTTCCTGGTGGGTCAACTAAAAAAAAAAACGCTCTTTCAATAGATCAATTGAGCATCATGAGTTGGTTGTTTTATTTAAGTATTCCGCTAACAACACAATTTCATAACTTCATTATGATGGCTACCAAGCCTTTGGGATTTTCCTTATTAGAGAGTTGTATAGATTTTTTCTCCTTTACTTTACTTAAATCTTTGGTTTTATTAGTTAGGTAGGTTCCGATTCAACACATTATAGTTTCATTTTTAAGCCTGTGATCTTGACTTTTTTTTATCTAGGAGATGAGTACTTAAGGAGGTTTGATTTTGATAAGTTCTTTAGTGAGAATGACACTGATGAAGCCTGCACATTGTAGTCGAAATACGTATCTGTCATGGATACCAAAATTAATTAAGTGGAATTCAATTGAAGATAACCCTTTTTTGCTGTTTTATTTAAGCATTCCGCTAACAACACAATTTAATTACTTCATTATCATGAGTTGTTCAATAGTTAGAATTTTGAAGAACAAGCTTGGCAGACATTATTTCCATGAAGGGGCATTAATCAACTTGGATCAATTTCATATCGTGAACTTTGTGCATCTCTTTCGACTTGGTTTAAATTTGCAACGGACAATGTTCATCAATCAGTCGGATTAAGGTGGTTCGCTGTGAGATCCTTACTGTCGCTACCACTTCGAAACATTTAATGCACAAATATCAGCTTCCACGACACGTACTACAATGAAATTGTTACTCCACGTTAGCTGCGCTGTAGGAATTTCAGGTGAAATGGAACTCTAATTTCCGAGATTTGTGTAATTGATAATTAGAGTTGGAAGTATTTATTTATAGCCTACATGGCACCATTTGAGGAATCATCTTAAAGTGAAGTCTTAAGCAGTCAATGTTTGTTCGATTTGGACGAAAATTACAGCTTTCAGAAACCTCTGACAATCAAAGCATATGGTATAGGAAAAACAAGACGAATGTTAATTTTTGAGTTCCACGTGACGTACTTTTGTTTTATTATATAGTAACACATTTCAGGTCATTGGCGATTATACGGGGATGATATTTGAAGCGTGACTTACTAAATGGGTGCGGACAAAGAATGTTTTGCCATTTTTCGGATTATTCGTGGCCAGTAACCTAAACCAGATATTTGATAATTGATGAAATATTAAAAAACCCGAATTTATCCACCTATGGTGTGATCAGACCCTTCTTACTTATTCAAGTTTATTTATTTTATTGTCATTATCAGTGACCAAGCCCCCCACCCCCGTGTAATCCAGTGACGCTGCGCCACTGCCTGGGGGTACCCGGAATATATCTGGGTGTAGTCTATTTGGTGAGGCTACCAATCACCTTATCATCGTATTTTAATATGATTTAATGGGTTTTAATTCAATTCATATTCAAGCAACTTCTCCGGGGTACCCGGAACATGTCCAAGTGTGTCCAATGTGGTCTGGAACACTTAACACGACTTGCATTGATCTTATTTTTGAATTCTGTAGTAATTTGATGTGTCGCATGATGGTTTTGATACGTTTTCCGTTAAATCCAGCGTGAAGGCCCATATTCACCGGATCTTATTCCGGCCATATCTCCGGAACCGGTTCACCGATTCCAAAACCGTTCAATAGCGTTCAATGGGACCCCAAGACCTATCATTTGGCGCCGAGTTTGTCCAAATCGGTTGAGCGGTTGCTGAGAAACGTGAGCGCATTCATTTCGTTACATACACAGACATGTTCCGATCTCGTCGAGCTGAGTCGAATGGTATATGACACTCGGCCCTCCGGGCCTCGGATCGATAGTCGGTTTTTCAAGTGATATCTATACCCTTCTTTGTAAGAAGGGTGAAAAGGGTGTCCACGATGAAATTGCAACACTCACAATTATTCACTAAAAATCAGCCCTAAATCTATTACACAGTGTTTCCTGAGGGCTAATCCGTTATCGTAAATATTTTCCCTCCCAAAGTTAATGTTATTGATTTGGTATATTCGAAAATGTTTCTGAATAAAATAAATTCCTTCTTTTTGAAGTATCTCTTTTGTGATTAATCCCCGTAGAAGTGAGATGCAAATATTGATTTCCACATAAGTGAGAAAGACGAATGGTGTCTTGAACAAAGTTGTAGAAACAATTATTTCAAGCAACTTTGCTCAACACATTGTAGCTCTATCAATTAACATTGATGAGATGCTGGTTGTTTTATGTTAATGGCTCCTGAAAATTCGTTTTTTATTATAACTTCTTTATAATGTATGTGTTTTCTTTATTCTACAAAGTTGTGAATTTAAAATAAATAAATATTAATTTTACTGAAAACAATCAAAGTATATCTCAATTATTTTCGAAGTTATTAGAAATATTTTATTGAAAAATGTGCTACTTCACATACAAATAACACTTAATGGGGCCAAAATGAGTCCATAAAGCAGTAAATAAATTATTTGTTTTTTTTTTCAGCACGTTTATTTGGAAGGCTCAATCGCGTTAGCTTTACGGAGCCGATGAATTATTTAATTTAATACACCATACCACCAGCATCCCAATGTACTTTGGATAAGCTCGTCTCTTGAACGAGATTGATCCATATACTGATATTTTAAAGCACCAAATATCTGAATAACTTGCTGGTAATATTAATTTTCTAAATAACTCATAATTTGTACCGTTTTGTTAATAACATTGCGAATGTATAATGAATTTAAAGAAAATTTTCAAAAACATGACAACCCTTTGTATAGAAAATCATGAATAACATAATAACGCTCATAATAAATGATGCTCGGTTATTTGGCCGAAGTTTCAGGTCATTGTCCATCCAAATGGTAGTTAGGCCGAATGGTCTCTAGGCTGAAGGTCATTAGGTCAAACGGAAACTAGGCCGAATGATCACTTTAAGAAATTGCTCATGTGTTACCAATACAGTAAATCTTTCACTCTTGTTTGAAGATGGGAAAATCCTTTTAAGTGTTGACTCAAATTGAGTCATCAGGGAAAATAAAATTTCAACAATACCGAATGAAAAATATTAGCCACATATATTGGTATGAGAATAGCACAAGCAGTTTTTTAAAAAAGAATGCATAATGTCATGTAATATTTTATTTGTGGTACCAAACTTCTTGAAATCAAATTAACTCAAAAGAACTGCTCATGTTTGAAAAAAGAAAAAAAGATACTATGAACAATTTAATTTTAATTGCTGACAAAACCATCGAATTTTGTTTTAACAAATTAAAGAAGATTAATAAAATTCTTCAATTTTACAGAAAAAAACATCCATGTGACACAGGTCGAAAAGTAGTGTAAATTTCTGTTCAATATGATGCACATAAATGGAGCGTCATATATCATATAATTTTATATTATATATCATGTAAAGTTCTGGCACATTTCATGCAATGTAGCAAATATTGTATACCAAAGCCCATTTTTGTAAACAACATTGTTTACAAGTTGCTCGGTTGCGTGAAATTAAATTTAAGTTTACGTAAATTAATGTTTACATCATAATTAAAATTCAGAATTTTTATCTGTGTAGATTGATGGTAACAACGCACGAACAACTTTTGACAGAAGGGTAATGAACATGGTGGCATATTTTATTCGTGATGTTTATAATCCCAAAACCAATAAAGGGTGATACGGTCAAAATTTGGTCAAGGGAAAACGCGTGTAAATCGGTGAAATCGTTTATTTAAAAAATCAAATTAAATTTCTTTTTCAAGTTCAATTAGTATAAAATTCAGGAAAATTATTCAGTTAGGCTTCCGCTTTTCCAAATCCGAATTGCCGGTCCTTACGCTTGACCCCTGCCATCAGATTTTGTACAGCCACCTTGTCCACCTTCTTTGCCGCAGAAAGCCAGTTTGCCTTGAACTGCTGCTCGCCCTTAGCAGTTTTTTTGGTCTTCTTTAGGTTCCGCTTGACAATAGCCCAGTATTTCTCAATTGGGCGGAGCTCTGGCGTGTTGGGAGGGTTCTTGTCCTTGGGAACCACCTGCACGTTGTTGGCGGCGTACCACTCCATGGCCTTTTTACCGTAATGGCAAGATGCCAAATCCGGCCAAAACAGTACGGAACAACCGTGTTTCTTCAGGAAAGGCAGCAGACGTTTATTCAAACACTCTTTCACGTAAATTTCTTGGTTGACAGTCCCGGAAGCTATGAAAATGCTGCTTTTCAAGCCACAGGTACAGATGGCTTGCCAAACCAGATATTTCTTTGCGAACTTTGACAGTTTCATGTGCTTGAAAACATCTGCTACCTTTCTCCTTCCTTTTGCCGTATAAAACTCCTGTCCCGGAAGCTGCTTGTAGTCGGCTTTGACGTAGGTTTCGTCGTCCATTACCACGCAGTCAAACTTCGTCAGCATCGTCGTGTACAGCCTCCGGGATCGCGCTTTGGCCGTCGTATTTTGTTTATCATCGCGATTTGGAGTCACTACCTTCTTGTAAGTCGATAGTCCGGCTCGTTTTTTGGCTCGATGCACGGTTGTAGACGATACACCCAGCTTATTTGCGGCATCCCGGAGAGAGAGGTTAGGGTTTCGCTTGAAACTACCGGCAACTCTCTTTGTCGTCTCAGCGGCTTCCGGTTTTCGATTTCCCCCCGATCCAGACTTCCTGGCTGTCGACAAACGTTCCCCAAACACTTTAATTACATTTGTAACGGTTGATTTGGCAACTTTTAGCGATTTTGCCAACTTTGCGTGCGAGTAGCTCGGATTTTCGCGATGCACGAGCAAAATTTTGATACGCTGCTCTTCTTGCTTGGACGGCATTTTGACAACTGAAGAGTGAATTCCAAAATCAAAATAGGAGCAACATTCTACACACACACACCTTCAAAATGAGGGGTGTTCAGGTTTTTTAAATGCAAAATTGAAAGAAATACGTCAAGTTGATATTGACCAAATTTTGACCGTATCACCCTTTA